ATGGCACAGTTTGGATAAATCATCTCAAACCGGCTCAAGTCATGATCCAACCTCCTTTCCACTTCCACATGTTCCTCAACATCACTCTCACTCGACCCTCCTTCTCCCTGATCATCATCATCATCTATCTCCTGACCAGGAGACCTCAGTCTGATCAAACCCTTCATTGATCCATACCCATCCACTCCCCACTCCTCTTTTGCCATATCCACCAAGACCTCCCTTGATGGAGAGAGGATAGGTGTTGGCAACACTGCTGGAGTCACAGGACAAGGTGAAACCAATGAAGCAATACCCCCACTCTTCTTTGCCCGGATTAGGAAAGATGTTGTATTCCTCGGAGCAAAGGGAGCCTTCCTATTGTTCCCACTGTTATTGTTATTATTGTTGTTGTTGTAATTATTGTAATTGTGAATCTTCTTTTTGTGAAAAAATTTCCTAGCTTTAATCCGATTCTGCCATTGAAGTTCATTAAGAGTAGGAGGCTGATAACCCCCAGGAGCAGATGCAGTTCCAACAGGTCCTCCATTCACAGCACCACCTCCCACTCTATTTCCACCACCACCAATAACCATCATAGATTTCTCCTTCCTTCTCCCTCCATCCATTCGGTTATCATTCTTAACCACTTTTTTCCCCTTCCAAGTGTTCCTAACCCCCAATGGCTTCTGTTGCTTCCCAGTCACAAATCCCTGATGGTTCATAGCATTTAGGTTAAACTGCATCTGAGACTGATCCAGAACTGGTGGCGGCTGTGGCCATACTCCAAACTTCCGATTCATCATAGGAGGCTGCTGCATCTGTGAATAGCAAAATAAGAGCGATTACTTCCAGTAGAGCTGAGATCCATCATTATTAAACACTGGATTAGCATCTCAAGCTTGGTTGTATTATAAAACACTGGATTAGCATGGTAACTTCTGTTCCAATTCATCATATGAAGATAGCGAGGAACGATATCATTCACATAAAACAATAATCGGTGAATCATTTCCGACGAGAATAATTACCTGCTGACGGACGTTCATATTCATCATCTGACCCTGACTCATACACATGTGTGGTTGCTGCTGCTGATTCACCATCGAAGCGGCTTGTTGTTCGCTCATCTCCTTTCTAGATTCCAAAAATTTCAAACATCGTCATCATCAATTCATAAATTCAAACAAAGGAAAAAGAGATCCACACACTTGTAAGATTAGTTGTAGATGCTCAAAATGATAGGGAAAAAAATTCACAGATCTCTCTTATTCCTCTCCTTTTGAAAAAAATAATAATAATAAATCTCTTTGATCGAGATAAATAAAAACCTCCATTATGAAAAAAAAAACCTCCAAAAATTAGAAAATTTTAAAACTCTAAAAATTGAGATTAAGGTTACAACCTTTTCTTGTGTTCCGTTACTTATTTTCGAATTGATTCTTTCGTCTATCTTGGCACAAATCGATGCAGTTAACGAAATTTCAGTTTTAATTGATTCAGAGCTCTCTGGAATTATCAAGACAAATTTCACGGTGAAAATAACTCGCAAAACCGATTGATTGGGCATCGATCCGAGTTGTTTATATAGGAGGAAGGGAATGGAGTTTGACGGCCGAGATATTGTTGGCTAAAATGGACAGTCGCGATTAAGTACGCGTGTATGGATGTTAGACTCGTATTAGGTAGGTTTATATAGCTTCTTTAGAACGGGAAAACAAAAGTTGGATGTTAAAAAAATTAAAAGAAATTGAAAAAAAATTAGACGAGCCAGAAAAGCTGGAAGAAACTGAAAAAATTTCAAAAACTTGGAAAACCTAAAATAACATTAAAAAATTATTTTAGTGTATTTTTTTTATTATTTACATTTTAATTCTTGTTCTTATTATTATTATTATTATTATTATTATCATCATTATCATCATCATCATCATCATCATCACATTATCTTAATAGTTCCTTTAAGATATAAAAAATATTGTTATTTCTTATACACAAAAAAACTTCTTTTGCAAAACAAAATAATTATAATATAAAGTTAGCATAAATATCAAAATGTTAAATTTTAATAAGTTATTCTGGTTATGTTGCACCTCAATTTATTTATGCAGTATATATTATAAAATAATATGTTTGTAATTATACTTTATATATTACAAGATTTTATTTTAAATATCACACATGTCAGATAATGTAATCAAACCTATTTTTGGAATAAAGACATAGAACTTTTATTTTTGTACATTTTTTGATGTTTTTCTCCTATTTTAGTCTTTTTCTCTAAACGTTTTTTACTTTCAAAATTTTTTATAAAAATAGAAAAATGAAAAAAAAATTAAATTTTTAAATAAATAAAAATGAGAAAAAATTGAGTAATAAAGGAAAAGGTGAGGGGTTTTATATAACGGCTAGGCTCTAGAGCCACTCAAAAAGAGTGACCACGGAAGCCACTCACCTAATTGGGACACCTACGGTGTTCCGTTCGCAAAATTGATAGTTTCTACCCCCTCTAACCCCCCCGGTAAACCCCCACACCCGGTCCCAATCCCAACTCATCCTCCTAACCACGTCAATTGCGGGATGCAAGTTTAGTTGACTTTAGAGTCAAAAGTTTTGACTTTAAAGTCAATTATACTTACCGGTTACAATTGACGTATGTGGGGGCCGGGGATGATTTGGGGTCGGGACTTGGCGGGGTGGTTTATCGGGTGGTTAGGGGGGTAGGAATCATCAATTTTATGAACGGAGCTCCGTAGGGGGCAGTGGCTTCCGTCGCCACTGAAATCTAGTGGCCACCGAACCGGGCCGATCAACTGGCATAATAGTTGTAATAATAATCATCATCACATTAAAAATATATCGTTTTTAGAGTAATTGGTTAGGAAGTAGAAAGAGTTTGAAGAAAATGAAAATAGCTGGAAGAAACTAGAAGGAACTGGAAGAACTAGTAGAAACTAGAAGTTAAGAGTTTAAGCCTTAAAGAAGAGGATGTTAGACCTCACAAAATAGAATCGAAATCGAATGATTCGAAATGGAAAATCGAAATAATTCAAAAAGTGAAGATTCGATCTATACCCGAATAGCTGAAATGATTTGAATCAAACCAAAACTGAACTAAATATATTCATGCCCAATTTAAATTCAAAATTGATTAGATCCATTTGATTAAATATGAAATCGATTAGATTCAAAATAGATTAAATTCGAAGCTTATAAGACATGAAACCAATAAGATCCAAAACCAATAAGACCTGAAACTGAAAAGATTTAAAACCGATTATATTCGAAACTGATTATACCTTACAATAAACATAATATTCATTTCATTAGTGAACAATTACTTCACCCCCCCCCATATCCTCAATATTGTGTGGTTGGCCAAACATGATATTTTCATTGTATTTAATTTTACTCAAATTTTACCCAATGACATTCAATCTCACTCAATTCCAACATATTTTAACTAAATTGTATATAATTTCATAACATTTCACTCAATATTTACCTAATCGCATTCAATCATTTTCATTGCAATAATTTTTAGAACTGGAATTTAATGAATACCAAATATTTCGCCCAATTCCCCTAAATTTTTACCCAATTGCATTCTATTTTATTGCGTATATAAAGATAAAGATAAGAGATGTTATAAAATTTTAATATATCAAAACTACATGAATATCAATTCAATTATATTAATTTTGTATCATAACTAAATATACCTTTCTTTCATAATTCGTAATCCAAATTTGTAAAATATGACTAAAAATGCAAAACTGGAAGATATTTAGGACGGGTGGACTATACTTAGAAAAAATATAGAGTAATATATATGAGATGATGTGTAACACCTCAACTCGCGTAATCCGAATACAAAGACTAGCGGACTAGGAACCTACTAGATTGGCATCCAAACGCAATAATTTTCAAAAGAATTTAAAAATATATAATTCAAAACATTATTTAAAACATTCATCAAAGTAAATAAAATGGTGCGTAAGCTTTCATTTAAGTACGTAATTAAAACACAGTTTTGGGTTCTAGCCCGAAAAACATAGTAAATTCAAACTGAAATATTAAATAAATTAACTTATCAGCCTTTCATCCACCCCATCTCCTTATCCTCCTTATCCTCGGTGTCTTCTAGGATTATTTCCTTACACATCACTCATGTTACATACGTGTATCAAGTAAAATAAATTACACGTTCAGCTTTCATGCTGAGTAAGAGATTCGAACAGTAGAAGTCACACATATGATAAATTCAACATAAAGCATTTCATACACAAGTAGTATCACATAACAACATCAAGTAATTGCATACATCATGCTACCAACAAAGTTCTTCATTATTAATCTCTTATAACCCTATACTAGGCTTAGGCCAACTTATCATTATTCACAATATTCAACATAAATAATCATTCATGGCATTTAGCATTAGTAATATCACATAACAACATCAAGTAATTGCGTACATCATGTCATCAACAAAGTTCTTCATTGTCAATCGCTCATAAATTATACTAGGCGTAGACCAACTCATCATTGTTCTTTTCTTAGAAATTAGAGCCACTACTTACGCCCATGACTTTAGTCTAGTCTATGGCTCAGAACCACTACCTACAACCACGATTTTGGTCAATCCGGTACCTACAACGCTAGTTGGGTGGAACCTCTAATCCTACAGATCATATCACAGATTCCATGTACGTACATCTTTACCCAAATGCCACTGGATACTAAGTCTACAAAGCTCTACAACTTATTGACAGCTTACCTATACAATGTTAATAAGAGTAGGGTATTCCTACAGTAACCCCTAAGTAACCCATGTCATTAAATTACTTTTCATATTCGAGCCCATAGTTACAACGACCTCAGATCCCTATACTCGCCCAAGACATATTATATTAAGGATATAATAAGAGAGATATAATAATCAAATAATCGTCATATAATACAAAAAAACAGTCTAGTGTTGAGTGTAGACACCTTCCACTAACCGTCATGCAACACACAAGGGCTCAAAAACCAATCCACGATTTGGATCGGAATAAACATGCAAGCAAAAAGTCGGAACGGGTCTGGTACAAAACCTCGATACCACCTCATGGTACCTTCTTACTATCTGTATTACGATGGTAGTCAGATTTATGCCTGTGATGGTAGTTAACTACCACCGGTTAGTAGTTCTCTACTGTCGGGCCGTAAACACAGAGCCTCGGGTTCTCAATTTTGACAATTGTAATTATTTAATATTCTTGGATACCCAAGCACACAAAAAACAACTATTCGCATAGTAAAACGCACCCGGTATCCTCCTTCTTGATCAACCAATTGTAATAAATCATAATTAACAACCACAGTTCTTCAAGATTTGGGCTTTGTTCGGGTTTGGCCACCGTTCTGCTTTGTAATTTTCATTGTACTTTTCTTTTCCATTCAATAAAATTTGTTTTTCAATATATAAATATAAATATAAATATAAATATATATATATATATATATATATATATATATATATATATATATATATATATATATGGAAAAAAGCCATTAAATTAAAGGGTACCTAACTGGAATCTAGATTTATATAATAAGAGAGATATATATATTCCAGGGAATCCTTACCATCTTTATTAGAGAGCGATTGAAGTACACGTTCGAGGAGGTTTACACCAAGGCCCCGAAAGTAGAAGAGTTACACTAAAAGAGACAAAAAATAAAAGAGAGACAAAATAAGAACACCCGCCGCACATCTAAACAGTTCCTAACGATTTCTTCATCTGCTCACCGTGATCATCATCTTCAACATCTTCCCATGAAGGGCGAAAGCTTGAAATCCATTGTTTTCAAGTTCCGAGTCTCTAATCATCCAACCTTTGTGGCGATACTTCCAACACCAGAGCCTGATAATGCTTTTGACTTCATCCTCGATTTGCCTCATCTGGATCTTTTCACCGCCATATTTGATCGCTGTGTAGTGTTTCCAAATTGTCCAAGCAATGATGCCCGGAGCTACCATCTGCAAGTTACCTCTGAGAGTAGATGATTTGGATTGCAAATTCCATTCAAGAAAGTGTTGTCTCAAGGTGAAGTTGTTGCACAGAACTGGTCCATCAAAGAGGTAAGACATCTTTCTCCAAAACGAACTAATAGGTGGACAATTTAATAAGCAGTGATCTTTGGATTCTTCCCCATTTTCACAAAAAGAACACCTTGAGGGATTTGAGCATGAAAACCGATTCAGGTTTTCAGAAAGGGGAAGAATGTTGTTATTCAATTTCCAAAGGAAGAGCTTAATTTTTGGAATCTGTAACTTGTGCCAATTGAATTTGTTGCTCAATTGGGTATTCTCATGTTTCCTGCAGATATTGAAGGCCTTCTTTAAAGAGAATTTATGGGTATTCTGAGAACCTTCCTCAATCTGAAAGCTTTCTGATGCCAAAGGGTGAATTCTGCAAATTCTCTTTCTCAGAGGGGAATCTGTAAGCTTTTCAATGTAGTTGGATGTGCCATATTTGTTCTTCATAAAAATTGACCATTTGCTGTTTCGATAATGAAAACTCCACCATATTTTCATGGAATATGCCTCTTGCAGATCTCTAAGATTCTTCAGACCAAGACCTCCTTCTGCAGTAGGGTAGCAAAGTGTTTCCCAG